AATATAATTATCATATTAAACATTCTTAATTCAATATATCATTTTAAGTTCGATTAATTCTCAAGTTAGATTCCCATTCCTAGTTTTAAGTTTCCTTTACGTAACTCTAATGAACTAGTTCCATTGCAGTGATTAAAAAATTCGCGCGCCTACGGGGTTCACAAGAGTGTCCCTTTCAAATCGCTTATTTTTGTCGGTTCAAGCCCGACTCTTGCACAAGAGTCGCGATCCATTTTGTGGATATTTCGCGTACAGCTTTGTGGTTGCCCTTTTTTTTCTCTTCAGCCCTGTCTCTGATTCCCTTCCGCCCTTGTGCCCCTAATGGATTACGGGCCAGGCCATTTTTCACCCGAAATGGATTTTCATAAGGCCCCGACATTCTCGACTTTGCCCAACCGCGCGCATTCTCTAACCATTCTCCGTTTCACTCTATCTCCGGTCCGCCAAAATGTTTGTAAATAGATGTAAAGTCTGGGAGGGGCTCAGGGGATTCCCCGCTGGGTGAACAAGGCGCCCCATCGTGCACCACGGTCGGTACATTTCTCGGGCTCTTCACCATTCTTCCCTCTCTTTATACGAAGCTACATCGGGCCACCTTTTGTATTTCTTCCACCTCTTTTTCCTTCTTCTTTCTTCCACTCTGTTCCCAGACTTCCTTCCACTCGTCTTCGTTTTCTACACTTCTCCTTTTGTTCTTCCCCCTCTTGTCTTCTTTTTCTTCATTATCAGTCATCCCTCGCTATTTTTTTTTTATTCCTTTCTTTTTTATGATTCTCCTTCTTCTTTTTTACTTTCAATCATCGATTTCTCCTGTTCACGTGTAATTTTTACGTATTCCACCCATTTTCGTTCGCGATCATCAGTTTCCAGATGTTAAAACTCATCTTCATCCTCTTGGGCTCTTTAGTTGTCCCTAAGGATATCATTAGTATCTCATTTACCTACAGTTTTAGTCTCTTGGGTTCTCTTCGTACCGTTCTCCATTTTATGTTCCGACTCTGTTCATGACTAAAATATCGGACACTTCATGTAATAAATCAATTTTATTGAAGTGTGTTTTAGAAGCGACGCTAGCTCTGTAGTTCGCTTTACAGGCTAGGATGTCATCTTTGCACAACACAGGGGCATAAATTACCCGAGTGTCGTACATGTGTACATACTGTTCTCCTAACAGTGTGTCTTTTCTAAGTAATCCTATGCGGTTTCTTTCAAAAATCAAATGTTTCCCCCTCTCTGTATTTGACATACGTGCTTCGACACACCTTATTGTTGGCCGTACAAATTATTAACCGACGTCCAAACACGGTCTCTCTTCGGAAGCGATGATAAATCACCGTCATGAAAACACATTATGTTTGTCCTGTGCACATCTTCGTTATATAAATTTGCGCGGGATCCCCTGCACCCTGGAAACACCGTTCGCACGCGAATTCGTTGGAAATCGTCAATAACTGGCTGAACAAAGTTAAATATCTAACGACAGCCATTGATATGGCGATTCACGGTGACAGATCGCTCCCGAGGGTGTTCGATTCTGGCTCCGCCGTATGTTGAATCGATTAGCTTGCGGTGATTCTGCAATTATTTAACGATATATTGTCGACCTCGGCATATGGTGTCTTTTCGTTCAGACTATTGACAAAAAATATGCGAGAAACAGAGTTGAGGTTAAAGCAGATGGAATATCATCGTTGTTAGTTCGAGTACATTAGAAGTTGTAGTAGCATCTTGCATCGTAAATTGTATTATTTATTAGCGACGAAACGTGTGACCCATCCATTTTTAATACAACGACCCATAACATGTTGGTATTCCAAAAAGAACATAAATCAAGCTCAGAATACCTCAGCATAAGTACTCGAACCCGTTCGCTCAATAATCGAAATTCGATCGCGTCAACTGTTCCATCAACGGCTATAACCAAACCCAGTCGCGTCGACAATCCGATCGCGATCGGTCACGGTGACGTTGTTGTCCCCCGTTAATCCGACCAACAGAGTCAGTTTCACCGGAGCGAAAGCCACGAAGATATCGCGTGGCGGTCGCAGCTGCGGAGGTTTGCTGCCGGGGCCGGCGATAAATTCGGCAAAAAGTCAGCCGGGGACGGGCACCGAAGGGAATTAAGGCCATCTATTGAACGTGCGCGATATCGTGATACACCGCGGTTGTTGGTCGCTTGCAGGACCCATTCGAGGGACAGAGAGCGCGCGGAGAGCGTGGCCCCGTTCATTCAGAGGCGGGCCCGTCTCCTGGGCGCCTTAATGGGAATTCATCCGACAGACGATGGGCGTGCGATTTCGCCTTGTGGCGATCGCGTGCACGTGGCCGTGACACCAGGGAACGTGAAACGAGGGGGGAGGGAGGTGGGGCGACTCCTCGCTTTTCATCGGTGTGGATCTCTGTACAGAGAGAAGAAGGGAGGGACAGAGAGAAGGTGAACTGAAAGAAAGGAGGAGGGAGAAAGAGGTAGACGATGGAAAACGGTACGGAGAACGGAGACGGAAGGGAAGAAAAGGCGGTGCTCCGATTTATCTCCCTCGAACTTGTCGTGCACCCTCAATAGGGGCTAATTGCCGCGCGAGGAGAGCTGCAAATTCGTGGTATTGTATGCCACGTCTTGTTTCGTGCTAGCTGTCGAACCGAGTCGCATTGTCGGCGTCCGCGGGACCCGCGAGTCCTCTCTCTCTCTCTCTCTCTCTCTCTCGCTCTCTCTCTGGCGGAATTTCAATGAAAGGGGACGCATGCCGAATTTGCAGACGGGGCACAATGGCCGCCGCTCGGGATCGAATTAACGAGTCCGACGATGCTAAAAAAGGCGGAAGAGGTTTGGTCCGAGGGAATGAGGATGGTAATAAGTAATTGATGGCGACAACAGGTGTCTGGGGTTGTTGGTTCTTCTCTGTGGAGTCGGTGTGTCCGGTTGGGTTGAATGCGGATGGTACGCTGGGTGTGGTTGAAGGTTCCAGAAAAGTGTAATGTGTTGGTGAAAATCTTGTCATAATGCCTATTGCAATGTTATTATACATAATGAAACCCAATTTTTCTTACCTTTAATCAATAAACCGTCATGAAATGTTTGAAAGGAATTAGACTGCGGATTTTTATGTAAATTCAGATTTCTATAGGTTAATCTACTAAATTCAAATAACAAAAAGAAGTATTTCCCTTATTAAATGTTTCGTTATTTCCAAAGGAAAATACAATTTATATCACCTTTCCGAAAATCTTCACTGTCTTCTGTTTTGCATATTCAAATTTGCAACAACTTGCATAAAATCCGCAATCTACTTATCAACTATTCGATCAATACCCCCAGACCACACCTTCCATTCGTAACCCGCCAATCAATGCAAAATCATGCCCTTCTTCCACCACCGCTCCTATACACAAAATCAATTCGCTCGAAAGGAATCGAAGTTCTGTTCGGTTTTCCGAAATCCCCATTCGCCGCTTAGCTCGTCAATGACCGATCGACCGCAGAAAAATCGGGGGCGACTTTCACGCGATGAAAAGACCGCCGGGAATTAGCTTCTTCCGCGCGCCCGGCCGAGAATAAAAGCGGGACAGGAAGGTAGAGCGGCGCTGCGGCTTCAAGGGAGCCGCTTGTACGGGCTCATTGAGGCGCATGACGGGGCCCAGCGTGGCCGATTACCCCTCGAAAATCAACTTAAACACGGAGGCCTGTACGGTTCGAACGCGCTCCCCCTCTCCTTCACCTTCCCAGCAATGCCCATTGGGGACCACACGGTCTTTTGGCTTCTCGCGCCCCTGATACCTAGCGTTCCGGATTAAACGAGGTTTACATGGCTCCGTGTTGCTTCCCGTGGCACGAAGTCACAGCCCTCCCCTGCCCTCTCCATGTTTTCTCGCGCGCGTTCTATTGACCAGTGACCACGGGTGTTCGCCTATCATCCAGGTAGATGTCCAAAAGACCATGGGACAGAGACGGAAGGAGCCGCAGCAGCACAGCGGCCGGGTTAAGACGAGAAAACGAGAGAGGAGGATCACCGTGACCGAATGATCCCCCGACACCGGCCCTGTATTTATACTCCTGTTTGCCTCCTGATTCGCCACAGTGCAGCCCCGGGACCCTTAAACGGGCCCAAAGTCCAACTGTCGGCCCCCAGTGGTCCTTGGTGACCGGTCAAAACACGCATTCGTTTTCCTGGCACACTGGTTCGTTTACCTGAGCCTTGCCGGTTCCGCGCGGCACGATTCCTTTTTCCGCGCGCGTTCGCGTGAAATCGACGAATTTTTCTTGGCAACCCCGGGAATTGTTGCTTCTCCACACCCCCCCCCCCCCCCCCCCCCCCATCGTTCAGGTGGCTCGATGTGAAAACGTTGAGATCCGTCTTTCAGAGGCGGAATGAGAAATTCTGTTAGGATTGGTTTTTGGATCCAGTGGTGTGGCCTCCGATGAACGTATAATGAATCATTTTTGGCATAAACTTAGGTTACTTTTCGAAATAAAGAATTTTTTACTATTACTGTTATCGAATATTCTATCTCCTGTATTATTTTATTGTATAAATCATATAAAGTATATATAATTACACCATCAACGGATGACAGACTATAACATTTCCCTGTTCAGAACTCTATTTCCTAAATAATCTTCCTTCTATTTAACAAAAGTTTACCATTTAATTAATTGCGCCTTTAATCAATCGCACATACAACATGTATCCCTTGAATATTGTGTTAATTAATGTTCTATATGTTTCTAATATAAGCCGTTCATTTTCCAAAGTGATTGACTCCAAAAAAATTATCATAGAAATTTATTTGAAATATAAAAAGTTCAGGACCAAGCCAAAAGTGTTTTGACATTAAAATTTTATAAAAATTCTAGAAATGGAGTTAGGCACTTTGGCCTATGAACGGCTCACATAACAGTCGAATTTGTTAAGGTAACAGTGGAATAGCTATTGGTATATCTAATAATTCAGTCCCCCGATCCTCGTAATCAATCCAATAACCCCGGAAGTGTTCTGTTGCAGAGGTGCAAGGAGAAGCTAAACACTCTCGCAATCTCGGTAATGAACCAATGGCCGGGGGTGAAGCTGAGGGTGACAGAAGGCTGGGATGAGGAAGGGAAGCACGCAACGGATTCGTTGCATTACGAGGGACGTGCCGTCGACGTGACAACGAGCGATCGGGATCGCTCTAAATACGGAATGTTGGCCAGGCTCGCTGTCGAAGCTGGTTTCGATTGGGTTTATTACGAGTCCAGGTCGCATATTCACTGCTCCGTTAAATCTGGTCAGTATTTCTCTTTTCTTATCATTTTCTTATTATCATTGCTTCGCTCGTACATGAAACGAACCATACTATGCAAAATGCTGTAAAATAAAATACGTGATAGTCCATAAAAGAATAAAGTAAAGAGAAATAATCGTAGCAATGTTAATGCAGAATGACAGTTATTAATTTAGTCGTTGACTATGAAAAGAAATAGCATTGTGTCCTAAAAGATATACTTACTAGATATACTACGAATATACCTAAAAGATATACCTAAAAGACTATACGATATACCTAAAAGATATACTACGAATTTTTCGCTGTCCGTGATTGACGTGAATTGAACGGTAATTAACCATCGATCGATGAGAAATACCGGGAGGCTGCGGTGGACGTTCCCATGTTCATTGCCATTACGCCGCTTTAATTCGGTAGTCACGGTTAATTTCCGCGTAAATTTCAATTATTCCGACTAAAGACAATTTACCTTATCAAGGACACCGATGCAATAACGTTGCAGAAACTAATCGGCAATCTGGTGGCTAACGCCGCGTCGTTTCAGCATGATCATAGACAAAACAAGTGATTCAATCTTCCGTTACTTAAATGTATAATTATTTCAGTATGATAAATTATTATCAACTATTGAAAAATCAATAAATACTGATATTAATGTTACAGAGTAATTATTGTAATATTAATATTACTTTCTATTACAATATAATGATTGTAATATTTCCAGGTTAATAATCTATTGTTATAGTTATATACATGATAAGCAATTTAACAATCATTGAACAATTCTTTAAAAAATATTTTTGAAACTAATGGTGGTCAGAATCGTCTAAATAATCTGTATTAACATCGATAAAAGCAGGAAAGTAAGATTCAAAAGAAAATTAATAAGAATATTGTACATTTATTAGTAAGTCTGAACGATATTTCTACGAATTCTCTATAATCCCAGTTAGTCTGACAAACGATCATAAAGGGATTTTCGATATCCAAGTAATTTAGAAACTAATCCTCAATGCGTTCTATTATTACAATTTATCTTTATTCCCCTGAGAAGACACGTTTTAATTTTTCGCTTCGTCATGTTTACGTCATCCATTATCCGGTAAAGTACACTAGTTTGGCAAGACACTAAACGAGTCACGTATCGATTTTATTGGAAGCCATCTGGGCCATCCAATTTCCTTGTAAATCACGCATAACTTTATCACAATAAGGTCAATGTCCCTATTTCTAATCATGAAAGAGTTCTGCTATCGCAGAAATTGATTTTTATTATTTATTTATGCAACAATCGACAAAAAGACTTATTAGATATCAAATTTGAACCTCCCTTTATAATTAAATTTAAATAAAAGTAGTTTTAAAAACACTTTAACTTAATATTAGGTAATTTAATATAAAGTATAAAATGTCCCTATTTCTGTTCGGCGAAAATGGAATTGCCAAAACTAAACTTTAAAAAATAACTGTAATAAATTTGTTATACCTTATTACATTTTAATGTATTTTGTTAAGTAGTGTTAAATGAATCATTTGCAAGGAATATTTTTCGAATGCAGCACCACTGTTTCACGAAAATCTTTTACTTGTCACGCCATCGACTCCTCCGATAACAGGAAGTGTTCTGTTTTACCGACTTCTGTAGATCCATTGTATTACAGTAAACTATCTGTTAGATGTCGTTAGTTCACAGGTTTTGCAGATACCTGCCTATCGAAAATAAAAAATTATATATTATTTTCATTATAGGATATTCTGCAACTGAATTACAAATAAAATCTCTATTAATGAATTAATACTCAATAGTATTACTTATTTTCAACCACTTTAATAAGTTTATTCATCTTTTAAAAATTAATTTTCTACAGAATTTAAATGGTTTTTCGAATATACGTACTAGCAGCTTTCGTATAGTCCTTGCAACAAATTTAACATAAAAAACAATTATTAATCATAATGTGTCGAAACATTTAAAGTTATTAAAATGAATAAAAAAGTTCAAGTAGAAGCTTTCACTTGATATTACAGGACATAACACTGTTGATGCTTCGGAGTTAATAACGAAAATAGAGGGTATATGACCTGCTGTAGGATCCCATATGGCTGCAGTATTATAACCACATATCGGAGCTATTATGGTTCCCCATGGAGTCCGTATTGAAAACTCTATACATATAAAGTACTGCATCAAACTATAAATGAGTGTATTAACACGTTCGCTGGGTATATAAAATTGCTTATGTTCCCAGGCAACTGAACCAATTTATTCAGACTAAAAAACCCTTGTATACAATATTACCTAAAAATAGGATTTTGGTCCTTTAAAGGTTCGTACGCCTTAAAAGTGTAAAGTTAATCGAGACAAATAGTTTTTGTTTCATGGAATTTTAAAGTCACATCGAGATAAAGAAACAGCGATAAGTCGGATCGATGGCGTCGCGCAAAGAAATTTAAATTCAAATGAGGCCCGCCGTCCCTCAATCTCATCGCGCAAAACACTTCCCCGGGGAAATCGCAACTGTTCACAAGGAACTCGCGAACAAGACACGCTGCTGTTACATCGGACCTGGTCCCAGAGCCGCGATTACTCGAATTTCTGATGATTACGGCTCGTTTCTCGTGTTTTCGTCCCTCCTCGATCGTCTCGACGATCCTTTTGATCTGGCGGCGCTGCACCAACGGATCCGATTACCCGATCTCTTCCGGTTGGAGCGTTCAAATTAGGGTTCAAAAGAAATTCCCTTCTTTCACAGAGCTAAACGTATTTATTGTTGTTAATTTTCACAAGAATGGTTCATGATTTTCCAAATTTTTTCTTCTATCGAATAATTTCCAATCAGATAATTGTAAATGTATACTGCATCTGGAGAAAAATGAGAAAGTTCTAGTAAATATGATGTAGAGAGATGAGTGTCCCACATTTTTATCGACACCCTGTAGGAGATCAGTGAACAGATTAAAAGAAAAAAATAACAGTTGAATACCATCCAAAACACATAAATTAACCCCAGATCAAAGGACCACACCGGTTAACCAGGCCGTTTATCTGCTTTCAGAATCCTCGTCGGCGGCGAAGTCCGGTGGTTGTTTCCCAGGTAGGAGTCTGGTACGAACCGAGGACGGGTCTGCGATCAGGTTGGACCAGGTGCGTCTCGGCGATCGTATCGCCGCCCTCGATTCCCGAGGCGACATTGTCTACAGCGAGGTGATCGCGTTTCTGGACCGTTCGTTGACGGAGAGGAGACAGTTCGTGCGATTGACCACCGAGTCCGGCCGAGTGTTGACTCTGACGCCGGCCCATTTGCTGCCTGTGGAGGGCAGATCGTCGATGTTTGCCGGCCGGGTACAGTCGGGTGACAGGATTCTGGTGAGGGATCCGACGGACGAGAACGAGGTGAATCATCGTCTGCGATGGGACAAGGTCGTCGACAGCCGGCTGGTCCTCGAGGAGGGTATCTACGCTCCCCTGACGAGGGAAGGAACCCTCCTCGTTGACGACGTGGTGGCATCCTGTTACGCGTTCCTGGACAGCCAATGGATCGCCCATATGGGCTTCCTGCCGTACAGAATGTGGACCAGTCTGGAGTCGTTCTTCGTCAGACGGTGGACGATCGAGGACACAAGGCAACCAGACATTAGGCAAGACGGACGAACGTTACAGGAGGGGATTCATTGGTACGCCTCGTTCCTCTACTGGGTGTCGTCCTACGTCACGCCAACGAAGATGCTTTATCAATGAACGTGTGCCTCGTCGACGAGGGGAACAAGTCTAGTTTTATAGAACGGGCCAACGTGAAACGCGGCCCGGGAAATTGTTAGTCTCGTTTCGCGTGGAAGCCTCGAAACGACGAAGGGATCATTCGGGGATCCTCGTGGTGATGGGTGAAACGTGTACAGAGTAGATCGGTGGTGAACACCCCTTCGAAGACTCCGAGCGTCTCTTGGGGACACGGTGTTGAAGACTCTGTGCGCGTGCTCGCGGTTCCTGTCACGACGATTATAGACGGAACGGGATCGACTGGATGTTGAAGGTCGTTTTGGTCGATTTTATAATCGTCGGTTGATGTTTTACGCGTTCGCTTCATGCTAATGTCCTCTGATCCCAAGAGGATGCTTGAAAGGGGATAGTCTTTGATGGCCTTGAATGGCCCAATGGACTTTGTCCCGACTGTAGTCGATGAATTTGTATTTAGTTGAAGAGAGATACAGGGGAGATGTGTTTCTCTTGGTACTCTGTTTTTCTTTTTTTGCTTTTGGAGAAACGTACTCGATCACGTGGATAACGTTGACGAAGAGACTCGAAGTTTGCTGGCCAGTGACCCACCTCCTTTCACCGAGTGACGTGTAGTATACTAGATATGTAGGGACGAACAAAGTGAAACGAAGCTTTAAAGAAGCTTTTTCTCTTGACATTGTAGTGTGTGTACAATACAAGTATATAATATAAATGTTCTCTTTCCTCGTTCCTTGGCGAATTGGCCGCACATCGTGTCCTCCGAGATGGACCTGCGACGGAAACCCGGTTAAACCGATAATTAATTGAATTAAAACGGAGTTTATAAATCACTCGGAATGGACGTTAACGGACACGTATTAAACTCGAGGCGACGCTTTTATTTGTACAGTTTTTATTTAATACGAAACTTTTGATAAATCCCTCCCAGCTGCTCTCTGTGTAAAATCCCGATTATACTTGCTTCATTAAATTCTCGGAAATTACGTTTCACGGAAATTCAGTGTTTTATCCTTCCGATGAAACAGTTTCATACATTGTTTCTGACTTTACAAAATATTTCAACTCTGATGGATTTTATGAAATGTTCAAACGCAGTCTGTATTTTTACGCGAGATTTTAGTCGAGATATAAAATAGTTCGGGAATGTTTTGTGAAACGCGTACCTTTTCATTTTACAATATTTCATGTTTTTCTGTAACGTTCTGGTAAATTGTATTTCCGCGGGCGATGCTACATAGGCAGTATGAAACATTAACTGCGTGTTCATTAAAATGATTTTTCGTTCATCTTCAAAAACTGCATCCAACTGTGTACATTGCGTCGAATATTCAACAGAATGTTTGAAAATTCTTTCTCAAAAGCTGTATTTTATAGAACGCTGATATATTACATGTTTTAACATTTATAGACACCTCGAATACTGACATTCTCGTCAGCCTCTCCCTTCCGCTTGTATCCCCTTTTAAGGTAACAGAATCTAAAACGAAAGTATTACGTCCCCGTTGTCTTGCTTCAAACGATCCGTGGAATAGAAATAGATTAAGCGCGCTTTAACGTAAAAAAAAAAAAGAATAAAGAAAACGAAAGGGGGAATGAATTGTTGTACATAGTCCGCTATTTTCTATCTATTCTCTGTAGAAACCCGAGAAATTATGCGACTACGCTGCGTCTCCTCGACCGCCCTCGGGACTTTAGCTGTTGTTGAATTTTGAATTCTATTCACAGACGAATACGTTGAATTACCCCCACCTCGCTGTGTATAGTAAAACAGTCAGGATCGGAATTCAGGGTTGACGAGGAGGAATCGATGTCCCGAACCGGGAATAAAAATAACTATTTCACGCCAGATCGGTTGCTACATTGACACTTAAGTTATCCCCAGAAAATCTATATATTATATATTATTATATTATAGTAATTATTATTAATATTATTATATTATATTTTATTATATTATATTATTATTTGTACGTAGCAGGAAAAACAAATTATAAATTATGTATATATAGACCATCGATAGATTGAAAGTAAATCATTAAACAGAGCAGAAACACCTAGTCCCTTGTGATTGTATACACCGTTCCATGGCAGATCTCAGAACGCAGGTTGCGTTGAAAATTAATGAAATTAAACGGAGAAAATGATCAGGTAGGTAAAATCTCTCTTTTAATTAATAAATTTTTCTACGAAGAGATTTCACTAGCTTGTTTTTCAATTGGAAAATATGTTAATTTGGTTCATTTTTGTACCACAGAAGTTTAAGATTTAAATATTGGCAGTAATAATGTAATATGGACAATTATTTTTCTATTAGAAAAGTAAATTACTGATAGTGAACTTTGTCACTGGTTAATTATCAACATATTGTTCCTAACACAATTTCAGAATTAAGATTGAAGTATTATTTTAGAACTGTATAACATACTGTTGTAGGAGAGGGCATAATCGAATATGGAATTTATCATTCAAATTCGCGTAACATTTTTCCATCTTTCAATTAAAAAAGATAATTATTCTGAAGTTAATTCATGTCGATGTTTCCTTGTTTCTCGTTGCTTAATTAAACTCGCATAAATTCGATTAATACTTCATTGAATCGTTTCATGTCAAAGATTATGTTGACTAGTCAGCAAAGTAATTAAAATGCCCTTTATAAACGAGGACACACTACAAAGGGTGAGTATTTAATCTATTTTTACTTTTTCGAGATCTCAATACGGCCTTAATAATTTAACGTTAATGATTTAAAGTCTTTAAACGTGATATTAACCGTTTCTTACTAATTCTTGTGCTTTTTGTTAATTAATTTTTTATACGACTTGTAGTGTAGACTTTCTATAAGTAACAAGTTGATTTGTAATCAGAGTTAGTGACAATACTGTGAATTGTTGTTCTTTTACTAATAAGTATGTTTATTTACAGCGTTCCAGCGTGATTGTCTCGCATTTGCAGAATCTGGAGAAGCAATTCTTCGATCTCGTCGACATTGGAAATGTGCCAGCTGTGCGTCACTTTCTCACCCAGAATCCGAACTTCAACATCAACGTCACAGATTTTCAGGTAATTTTGATGTATTCTATTGCTTTGAACAGTACAATGAAATATTATTCACTTAGACTATGTTTATTTATCCATAATGTATATAATATACACATTCTTTTATATACAAATAGCATTTACGGGTACGGAATTGCGAGGCAAGTATTTATTTTCATTGTATCATTATTTTCAATCACGTAATATAAATCTTACTCATTATACACCTGAATGTTGGTAGAATAATTTTCTTTATCGATTCAGATTCATCTGAAACTCCCTTATCACCTAAAGTAGCGTCCAATACTAAACATTTTATGTCAATGTAAGTTAATTGTTCTTCCAGGTCTTTATTTAATGCATGTTTTATATAATAAACATAATTATTTTTAAAAAGGGAGGTTCCGAACGAAAAGGAAACATACTAAAAAGTAAGACTAGCCTCGCCAGATATTTTAAGCTTTAACAACTTTTTCCTTAGGAACAATGTAATCTGTTGCTTCGTTACCGAGATATTAACGAAAAACCCCGACCAATCAGAGCGCGAGTTTGCCAAACGGGTTCCCAACCCCAGGTCGCAAAAGAAACCATTCAAAGACAGTTCCCAAACCGTGTGCCGTCTCCCAAAGATCCCCGAATTTATCTCCCATCCCCGGTTTCCCACAACGCAACCGTAAAGTGGTGTCGGCCGTTTACGTTGATTCACCAAGAACGACCCAGGTAAAGCCGGTAGACGCCGCTCGTTTTCCTCTGTCTACCGTCTGAGTCCATTGGTGTTCTGTCAACCCCTTTTTCCCGAAATCACTCCCAGCCGATGATTTACACGGAACTGTCCACCGTATCCCCGGGTTCAAAGAGCAAACGCCGTCCCAGGGGTCGCGATGGCCAGCAGAGGCGGACGATGTGGATGAAACGGAGGAAGGAGACGAGAAGCAGAATCGTAGGAAGAAGAAGACTCCCAGAAACAGTCGAAGGTGGAAGGGCGGAAAGTAAGACGAGGTCTCGTTATCTCGGATCTTCACCCCGTCGTGGTACACGTACCCCCCGTGGAATGTTTATCCCTCCACTGCGCGCGCGTTCAGTGCTCAGTCGTGTCATCCGCCTCTCTTCAGGGTTCCGAAAAAAGCCCAACCCTCGTTTCACTTTGAGGCGAACGGGGGCCGCCTTCGTGGACATCAGACGAAGAGCAAACTACGCTGGAAGAGGAAGCGAAGAAACGCGAAGGTGGACGCGACGGAAGAGGTTTTGGTTGCTGAGAGGAGAGCAAGAGGAGAGTAGAGAGGACGAGACGTGTGCGAGTGAAACGGGACGATAGAAGCTCGGCTGCCTCCGTGTATCTACGGCCATATTTCAGACCGTCCTTTACAAGACAATGGTTTCAGCCGAAGACCGATAAAAATTATTCAAATGACTGGTCCCGCTGTAAATTCTGTCCCAGGGGGGAATCCCCTCGCCATCGGACTCGGCCGCGAGCTGTCCACCCCGCGCTTTGCTCTCGTTTTCGGAAGGCAACCCAATATATCCATGAGATATCGGGAGTCATTCAAGGAATTTCCATATTCCCGAATTCGGCCAATCTCGGAACCGGGGATTCTTGGAAAGGATGATGATTTTTGGTAAATGGCCCTCCCCGACAGGTTTCTCCTCCCTTGCGAGTTTTGATTGGAATTGTTTGCCGTCTGCTTGCGGGGTGATCGTTCGTGGAATCTAGAAAAGTTGGACGATTCTTAGTTTGTTTGAATGTCGACTGAGATTTTCGTGGTTTTGTGTCGAACACGTTCTATATGTCTTAATCGTGGATTTACTCCAATTATTGGATTATAATTAACCCTTGTGCACTGTTCGAGCCAATTTGCACCAAACTTAGACTTCAATTTTCAATTATATTCTCTATTAAAAATACTTGTAAAATAATTTAGCACTATTAGTACATACAAATAGAGAACGATCAAGCCATATGTATGTATGTATATTCCTTTAATTCAATTTTAGCTTTTTAGACAAAGTTTCGGTCCCTCAAAATTTACAAAAACTGGACTCTCATCGTTTTTCCCCTAGACCCTTCAATTTAGACCTCGCCTCAGAGACATGAATCCTCATTTACAATGAATAGAGGGG